TGATTTTATAAACACTTTAGATCATTTAATGTTATTAATGTTTATAAATTCACTTTTATTTCTTATTAAATCATTTATAAATGATTTTATACTCTTATAAACAACTATCTTGTAATGAAAGAAGCTTGCAATGATTCTAGAAGACATTGTAGTGATTGCAACTGAATTTAGTCTTACTTCTGACATTAGCTGGTTATCATAGTGGCAAAAGAATCGTCCATTTTCAATGGCAATCTTCTCCATCCAAATCTTGATAAACTGGTGAGTTATTGTATCGAAGATGATCAAAGGCTGCTCGTTTATGAGTTCATGCGTCGAGGAAGTTTGGAGAATCACCTTTTCAGAAGTAAGTTAAGTTTAAATCTTCCTCTTGTGTGTTGTCATTCATAATAGTAAGTGTTAATGAGTTAAAGGTTACTCCATATTCTTAAAAGTTGGAACATTTCTACACTTACATTTGTTTAAAGTTGGAAACTTTCTACTTCCAAATCTTAGATGGCAGATCGATGTTTCTTGAACTTGTCCTTGTGTGTTGTTGAAGGGTCGTTGCCTCTTCCATGGTCGATTCAGATGAGGATTGCTATCATCACATAATGTGATAACAGATTCAAAACTCATGAAATACCAAGTTTTTGTTCATTTATAATATTTTATTAATTGCTTTATAAGGGTTTATAAATTTATTTATTAGAATTTATAAATTTATTTATAAGGGTTTATAAACTGATTTATGAAATCTTATAAACTGATTTGTAAGATATTTTATTTTGATTTACAAGAATGTATGAACTGATTTATAAGGTAGCCTTCTTAACACTACTCCCACTAGCACTTCTTGAATTCAACATTTACAAATTATTTACAAGACTTCATAAATCATAATATAAGGTTAATAAGAACCTATAAGATTTTATAAACCATTTATAAAGATTTATAAGGGTTTATAAGAATTTACAAAGGGTTTACAGACCATTTATATGTGTTTATAAATATTTCATATAGAATCTATAAGGTTTTATAAATTAATTATAAGGTTTTATATAGGTTTATAAGGTTTTAATCATCTTCTCTTAACAGTATCCTCAGGTGTTTCAAGGAAGAAGTTCTTATCACATAGAGTGAACTAGATGTTGGAGCAGCAAGTGGAGTTCCACAGAGGCAACAAACGTTAGGAGAGATGACTTTGGAGGAGTTCTTGGTCAGAGCTGGTGTGGTTAGGGAAGAACTATCCGTAGATTCTACATGCTAGTGTGGTTGTTCAGCTTTGCAACTGTGGTCAAGTTTATAAGGATTTATAAATTAGCTATAAACATTTATAAAGACTTATAAATTATTTATAAGAGTTTTAAATCATCTAAAATATTTTACTATGCTATAAATGTTTATACATCATTTTGTATTGATTTATAAATCCATTATAAATATTTAAAATGAGTCTTATAAATAATTTATAAGCTTTTAAAATAATGTTTATAATTTATAAAGCCTTATAAAAAACTAATAATAATTTACAAATGACATTATAAATATTTATAAATGATCTATAAACCATTATAAATTATTTAGAAACCATTATAAATAATTTATAAAACCTTATAAATGATTTCTAAACCCTTATAAATGATTTATAAGCCTTTATAAAATGTTTCAAGACTTTATAATTGAATTATCTTTAGAATTTCTACAAATCCTTATCAATAATTTTGTAACCCCTTATAAATAGTTTTATATGTTCTTATAAATGATCTATTGATTATTATAAAAAGTTTCTATATATTCTTATAAACTGTTTATAAACAGATTCAAAAGGGTTTATAAATGATACAAACCCTTTTAAATTCTTAAAAATGAAATACCAAGTTTTTGCACATTTATAAAATTTACTAATTGATTAATAATGGTTTATAAAATTATTTATTAGAATTTATAAATTGATTTATAAGGATTTATAAATGAATTTATAATGGTTTATAAATGGATTTACAAGTGTCTATAAACTAATTTATAAATGTTTATAAACTGAAATAGAATAAAATGAATTTTTTTCTGTGTTATAAAATGATTTATAAAGGTTTATAGTTTGATTTATAAAAGTTTACCAACTGATTTTTGTGTATATATAAACTATAATTTTAGATGTTTGAGATTATCATCACATTCGTTCCTCTACCGTCACATTAGCAATATAACCCATTGGAGAATTTCTAACAACTAGAACATTTTGATTTGGCACAAAAATCACAGTAATAGCTTCAGAAAATAAACCAGTTTCATTATCATTATCTTTCCACTGCACTTTATGGGATTCATCTTCTGAGATGTTAATATGACCACTACCACTATTGCTGCTGCTAGAGCTCTTGTCATGATCATGGCTTGAATTAGTTATTTGTATACCCTCGTTAGTATCCAACCATGGTGAGATGAGCGAAACTGACCGTGAAGAAGTGGAGACAAGGGAAAGGGATGAGGTTCACTGCAAGCTTCCTTAGATCAGAGTTGAGCTGACCAGGGAACCTAAGACAAGCATCATTCGATCAGGATACTCTTCCCTGATCTTAGATATCAGCAGAGTTCCCATTCCAGACCCTGTGCCTCCACCAAGCGAGTGACATACTTGGAAACCTGTTAAGTTTTTAGTTCTGAAAACAGCAACAAAGAGTTGTTAACATACCCTGAAGACAGTCACAATTCTCAGCCTCCTTACGAACAACATCAAGCACAACATCAATAAGCTCAGCTCCTTCAGTGTAATGCCCTTTAGCCCAGTTATTTCCAGCACCAGATTGCCCAAAAACAAAGTTATCAGGTCTAAAGATTTGACCATAAGGNAGCTTTACTTGACTCTGTCTGATTCCTTTGCTCTGCTTGACATTATTTTATCAGACAAATCCCCAAACTTTCACATTTGTAATATATGCGTGTGTCTACATAATACAGAAAACAGAGACTCATGTCTTTTATTCCAACCATAATCAACATACAAATACAATCACTGAATCAGACTCTTAAACCACAACCCCCATACATAGACACAAATGAAAAACCTCTCACATCACACTTTGACCGAGAAGATCTCACTCAGGGAACTCCAAGTTCTGGACACAGTAAGAACCATGCCCAGTCCCACTATCGCCATGTCCAGGCTCCATTGCTTCCACCCCATCTCTTCCTTGAACACCAGCAAATGAAACAAAGCAGGTAACACAGACCCTAAGATGCAGCAAGTGCTGCTCCCCACCAATGACAAAAAAAATCTGTAAAATTTGGCACAAAGAAAGCCACCAAAGTCACAACCAAGAATTCATACAGAACATCACCATCATCCTCTTTCATACAGAACTCCTCAACTGTCTTCAGCTGTTCTCCTGAAGATGACTTGGTTTCAATTATCACAGAGTAGTTGTCTGAAGACTCAGCTAAAGAGTTCACAACCATGTTATGTCCTNGAATTCATACAGAACATCACCATCATCCTCTTTCATACAGAACTCCTCAACTGTCTTCAGCTGTTCTCCTGAAGATGACTTGGTTTCAATTATCACAGAGTAGTTGTCTGAAGACTCAGCTAAAGAGTTCACAACCATGTTATGTCCTTTCTTGAAACTTGAATCTCTAATCAAGAACTAATCTCTAATGTATACAGAACATGTAACCAATCAAGAACTAGGGGTTAGTTTAGATTTTGTATAAGCTGAAGATGAAGATGATCATATAAGCTTTAAATGAATCAAGAAGTAAGTCTTGGACGACAAGATCTTTCAATGCAGTCTACACGAAGAGATACCACAGCGAACGCACTACCTAATTAGTCTACGAGAATCTGAACACTAATAGATTACTACTTGGCATGGAGATGAACTCATCAAAGGTTATTATAACCTACGTTCAGCCAACATGTATCATGTATAAAATAGAAGAGAAAATATACACATTTACACTACATATAAACAGTCAGCATCAATATCGTAGGATTTATACTGGCCATAAAACTCAAGGTTTCAAGATAGACACAATAGATCATATATATAGAAACATAATTATTTGCCTACCCCACTGTACCAGAAACCATAAAAAACCAGAATCAACAAATCTCTTGTAAAGAGTTGCAATGACTGAGGATGTTGATTAACCAACTCGTCTCAACTATTCAACGATGAATCTAACAAAGAAACTCACTCCAGAAAAAAAACAAGCAACATTTTTTTTCAGAGCCACTTGGGTAATAATCACTAGCAATTGCAGTCTTATTCAAATATCTTCATTGCTAATACCAACTCTTGAAAGACATTAACCATAAACCAGATCTAAGCAAAATCAAAGGTCATCCTAAGACTTAATCAATCAACATTATCATGAATCAAATCCTAAACGCTATGATAATGACTTTCAACAAAGCCGCAGATGAATACAACCAGATGTAACCACGCGATTCATACGATAAACGAAATGGGGGAAGACTTTTACCTCTTTCTCGGAAAGCTCAGATGCGTAAGGGAGGACGAAATTGACGGTGAGCTTCGTCAGGATCGAAGAGGCGGTAGAAGGACGGGCTTTCATGAAGGTAGAAGGAGTCTGAGGCGGGTCCATGTTGGTCACGATGGTTCCAGGAGCTGGATGAGATCTCTATCTCGTGGTATATCTTCATGTTCGCCGTCCTTTAGAAGCTCTGGTTCGTTTTTTACCGGGAGCAATCGTCGTGCGACGGTGGTGGCGGTAGATTTAGAGGCCCGAGAAGAGATCAGCCTTTTTTAATCAAGAGAAGATAGAGATAAGGGTAGTATTGTCTTTTGTCATTGTTGAATTGTGTATTTATGAAAATATCCTTTGAGTGGTGGTAAAGTTGAATTGTGGTACAACAAAAATGGTATTTTTGCAATTGTCCCTTTTCAAAAGGTACATCTCATTTTAATTAATCACCATCGTAGACTATTGTACTTATCAACAACATAATTTAAATTAAAACATTGTAGTTAATACTGTTTCTATTTTTATAACAACTATATGTACGTATATATACGAGAACTATGCAATTGCCTTTGAGTGCGTATACATCTATATCCTATTAAATTTCCTAAATAACTCAGCAAATATTTTGGTAATTTGAAAGAATCTATGTATTTAAAATATTTTTTCATTTAAATATTTTTAATTCAACCTCAACCACGGCTAAACTAGTTAAATTGGTGATCTGATAATTCAATTTTGATTTTTAAAAATATACATATTTAAAAAATCACTAAAACCCGAGACTAACCGATGGATAACTGGTATGTAAATATTTACACTTGTAAAATAAGTTTATTTTTGTTGTTTTATATATTATTTGAATTTTTAATTCCTCTAAACAATTTAAAAGAAAATTATGAGAAACTATTAAAAAGGGTGAGATCTAATATTTGTTTTGTTTGGACATAAGATTAATTATAAAGTTGTTTGGAAACATAATAGTAGTATAAAGAATGAGTATATTGTTAGGAAGCATGGATAGTAGTATAAATAAATAAATATATAGTTTAGAAACATGTATAATAGTATTAAAAAAAGAATATTAGTGATTGAATGTAGGTTTAAGTATAGAGTAGAAATATGTATTTAATTTAAGAACTTACAAAATAAATGTTAGGTCAAACCTAATATTTATAATTTAATAAGATAGATTTCATAACTCGTTCATATAAGATAACTATTTAGTTACATTTTAATGCCACTGAAATCTACTTAATCCTAACTTTTAACATTTACTATTTTTTTTGTCAAACTAAACAATCATAAAGCATACTTAAACTGATTTTCAAACTAAATAATTTAAAACATAAAATATAAAAAACTAATTAATAAGATGAAGATAATGCTATATTGATTAAGGAAACAGCCTTAAAACCAGGAAACATCGATTTAGATATATTAAATCTATATTATTAATAACTAATTGATAAACATGACAAATAATCATAAATCCACCACCTTAATCAATTTAGGTATCAATTAATTAAATTTAGAATAAAATATTGTCTCAAATTTATATATTTATATTTTGAATGTTTATTAGTAATAACTAAAAAATAAAAGTCACATAAAATATAAATTAATATATAAAATATATTTTTTGTATGTATATGTTCATATAAATAATAGTCCAATATAAATTCAATATGACAGTTGTTGAAAAGTGGAAAATATATAGCACTTGATTTCAAATAGTATAGAACAATTTAATTATACATTATCATAAACATGTTATTCACAAAAAAAACAAAAATATATTAGTGCGGATGTACAAGCCATATTTTTAAAATATGGGTGATAAAATTGACAGTCTACAAGACAATAAAGTTGCTCAATATAAATTATGAAATTATAATGTTTATAAATGTCACATTAAACAATGATTTAATACAGGTCAATTCAAAATATATATTGGGTAATTTGACAAAATAAATATTCATTTTGACAAAAAAAGCTAAAAATAAATAGATGCACGGATTAAGTTCTAGTTTTATTTATATAACATGTGTGTTTTTATAAACTAAATAGAATTAACAAATGAAAATGCAATCGTAAATATATATATAATCGTGAACTAAAACAAGCTAGTGATGAAATGTATAAGATCTATGAAAACATACCAACACAAGGGGTGGATTTAAGTAATTCCAACTACACTAGTCTTTAAAAGTGCACAAATGTGAGTCGAAGTCAAATACTGTAATAGCTAGAGACAAGCATCAGATCATGACTCCCCTTTCTAAGGGTGACAACATTATAGCTATATTAGTTACAGAACCAATCTTATCCCATGTTTGTGTGCCTTGGAGGATTGCGTGCTGCCCCAAATTAGTGGGCCCATAAAGGCCTTCTTACTTTATAAGCTGGATTTAGAATGGAAATTACCCCAAAGTAATGGGCTCGTAAAAGCCTTCTACTTTCTATCAAATAATCAAAACGATTTAATTAGTAAAAACGACGTCGTTTATGACACCCGCCGGTGGCAAAGGAGAAAAAAAAAAAAAAAACTTAAAAAGTTTGATTTGGATCTAAACGTGAGATTTGGGTGAATTCGATCACAAGAGGCATCATCTCTCGTTAAGCTCTTCTGATCCCAAAGGGAGGAGCATGCTTGTATCAAATCAGGCGCACCCTCTGCTCCACCGTGCATTGAGAGTTTGATTGATTTTCCTATCGGATCTGCTCCGGTGATATTTGTGAGATTGAGATCGAACAAGTTTCAGATTTGTGGAGGAGATGGCTTGGTTCAGTGGAAAAGTTTCCCTGGGAGGCTTCCCAGATCTCACTGGCGCAGTTAATAAATTCCAAGAGAGCGTTAAGAACATCGAGAAGAATTTCGACAACGCTCTCGGCTTTGATGAAAAATCCGAATCTACCGGTGAAGGTACCTTTTGATCGATCTTGCTGTTGCAATGGATCCGTTCGTTTAGTTTCTGATAGCTTAGGATCGTTATATCTTTACTTAAACAGTTAATTAAAAAAAATCTGTATAGTTGTTTTGCAGCTTGGTCTGTGTTTAACAACATGAATCTATTTTTTTTTTTTAATGCAGGTTCAAGTATGTGGTCACCTGCAGTTGATACCAAAAGTCTATTTGATCCTGTAATGTCCTTCATGGGCAACAACTCTGATGAGAAACTTGATACATTGGAAGACTCTGCCAGTAATAATCCATCTAAAATCGAAAGCGATGAAGAAGAAGATGGAGGATCTGGTAAGGTAGCCACTGAAGAAGCAGTATCCGTTGAAGCAAAGAAAGAAACAAATGTGACAACAGAAGCTGACCAAGAAGAGGTTCCTGAGGTAACAGAGACTGTTGTTTTAGATCACAAAGATGATGAACCTGAACCGCAGATGGTTCTCCAAGACTCCTCAGAACACTCGTTTCCTGAATCATCTGCTGACACGTCTAGTTTTGAACCTGATGAAAAGCCGGATATGACAGCTTCTCAAGAGTCTCAGACAGAGCCACCCAAGTCGGAAGATGCTGGATCAGAGGCAGAGGAGGCTACGCCTGAGGATGCTGGAACAAAGGAAGTTTCTGTAGGAACCAATGATGCTGTTTTGTCTTCTGTGTCCGATGGACCGCATAAGATTGCTGATACGGATGAGACAGAAACTGAACAGGAAAGCCAGAACGATGATCAGGAGAAGAGAACATCGTCTATAAATGTTGAAGAATCACCTGATATAGATAATTTAAACACGACAGAATCCCCTGATGATAAAATGTCTGTAATTACTGATACGGCTGGTCCTGCTAATGAGTCTTCTGTGCTGAAGAGATCTTCCTCAGATGAAATTTCGGAGAGAGTTGTAGATTTCGTTTCTCGTGACTTAGAGTCAAGACTTGATGCTAGTGAATCAAATGAGAGCCAGCGTTTGAGCTCTGCAACAAATGCTTCTGACTCTGTTGATGTTGTTATGGAATTAGAGAAGACTAAAAAGGAAATGAAAATGTTAGAAAATGCACTGCAAGGTGCTGCAAGGCAAGCTCAGGTACATCTTAAGGTTTCCATCTCGGGGTTGTTCTACAGCTATGGTGCTTCTGGACCAATTTTTATGGTAATTTGTTCTTACAGGCAAAGGCTGATGAGATTGCGAAATTAATGCATGAAAATGAGCAGCTAAAATCTGTCACTGAGGATTTGAAGGTACTAGAGAGTACGCTGAAAGTTGATATTTATTTAGATGAAATGTTGATTAACTTACTCATTCTTCCTACCATCTTTGTTTGCTTTGTTTTGATCTTAACCTAAATTCTTATACCCTTTGTGCTCTGAAACAGAGGAAATCCAATGACGCTGAAGTTGAGTCTTTGCGAGAAGAATACCATCAGAGAGTTGCTACTCTTGAGAGGAAGGTATATTTTGTTTTTTTTATTCTTCTTTTCCTTTATAAATATACCTTCATCGTTCATATCTTTGTAGGTTTACGCTCTCACCAAAGAAAGGGACACACTTAGAAGAGAACAGAACAAGAAAAGTGATGCTGCGGCCCTTCTGAAGGAGAAAGATGAAATAATTACGCAAGTTATGGCTGAAGGTAAGGAAACCTTTTGGAATGATTGGGATCATGGATTGTAATTTCGGTGCTAATAGTTTGAGGTTTAATGCATCCCGAGAGCGAACTGTAACTGTTTGAAAAATGAAAGGACTTCATTTTTTGGCCTTTGATGTTAATGCTTATCATTTCAGGCGAAGAGCTTTCGAAGAAACAAGCTGCTCAAGAGGGTCAGATCAGGAAGCTGAGAGCTCAGGTATGTAATGAATGTTTACGCCTTTCACTTTAACTAGTACCCTCAATCTCATTGCTTCCTCTCTCACCTGCTTACTTTGTTCGCTTGTTAGATAAGAGAGGTGGAAGAAGAGAAGAAAGGACTGATCACAAAGCTTCAGGTAATTGATGTGCGAGCGATGCTTGTGTTGTTCACTATGTCATTAAGGATTGAACAACTTGGAGGGCTTTTCTTGATATTCCAGAAGCTTTTGTTAAAGCATTGTTCGAAAATGTATCTTCTTGTAGGCATGATAAATATCTAAAAGAGCAAAACTTTGGTGTCTTGTTTTTTCTGTCATTTGTTAGTCTGAAGAAAATAAGGTAGAAAGTATTAAAAGGGACAAGACAGCTACTGAGAAACTGCTGCAAGAGACCATAGAAAAACATCAAGCCGAACTTGCTTCTCAGAAAGAGTATTACTCGAATGCATTAGCTGCAGCAAAGGAAGCTCAAGCATTAGCGGAGGAGCGTACCAACAATGAAGCGAGAATAGAGTTGGAGAATCGTCTTAAGGAGGCTGGAGAGCGGGAATCTATGCTAGTACAGGCGCTGGAAGAATTGAGGCAAACCTTAAGCAAAAAGGAGCAACAGGTATGGTCTAGTCGACCAAATTCGGGATATTACTAGTGGGATCAAACTCGGTGATATTTGTTATTATTTTGTTTCAGGTAGTGTTTAGGGAAGACATGTTCCGTAGAGAAATTGAGGACCTTCAAAGACGTTATCAGGTAAGTCAAGCCGTTGCGGGATGAATTAATAGCTCGTTCTGTTTACGCTTTCTAAACTAAATTTTCCTGCAGGCTAGTGAACGAAGGTGTGAGGAATTAATCACTCAAGTTCCTGAGTCTACAAGGCCTCTCCTAAGACAGATCGAGGCAATGCAGGTAAGAATTGACCCTTTAGGTTTTGATTATGGAGAAGTTTTCTTGAGATTGGAAACTTAAAATAAATTTTGTAACATTACATGCTTATTATCTGATTGACTATAGGAAACTACTGCCAGGAGAGCAGAAGCTTGGGCTGCTGTAGAGAGGACTCTGAATGCCCGACTGCAGGTGTTTTTGAAAATCACTGCTGTACCGCTTATATTCAACTATTTATTTTTATATTCTCTCATCTTTTTGTTCAATTTCTACCAATATTCAGGAAGCAGAAACTAAAGCTGCCACAGCTGAAGAGCGGGAGCGCTCTGCGAATGAACGCCTCTCTCAAACCTTATCAAGGATCAATGTTCTAGAGGCTCAGGTTTTCTATGATCTTTGACACTGTTTTTCATCGATGTCACGTCTTTTCTCTAAATTCTAGCTTACCCGGTTCTTCTATCTAGCTTTCTTGTCTTAGAGCAGAACAGGGCCAGTTAAGCAAGTCGCTCGAGAAGGAGAGGCAGAGAGCGGCAGAGAATAGACAGGAGTATCTGGCAGCTAAGGAGGAAGCAGATACCCTAGAAGGTCGAGCAAACCAACTTGAAGTAGAAATCAGGGAACTGCGGAGAAAACATAAGCAAGAGTTGCAAGAAGTGCTGCTCCACAACGAGCTTATTCAAAAGGTGCGACATAGTTGTACATACATAGCTTTATCTAAGAATCGGTCTCGTAATTTTGCGCCATCAGTTATGGATTCAAAGTACTGTAAGTACCCATCGGGGTATTAATTAATCAAATTAGTTCTTCGGAAGAAGAAAGGTTGTACTTTCCTAAACTTTTGACCTCATATATCCCACTCCACTGCGGCTTTAGTTTTTGAATATTTTGTTATAAGCTACTGTAGCTTCTACTAATGTGTAAGCTTCTTCTTCTTTACATGGCGTAAACTATTTCAGGACCTAGAAAGGGAGAAGGCTTCCCGTTTGGATCTTGAGAGAACTGCCCGTATCAATTCATCGACAGCCTCTGAACAGCTTCCCATATCAAGGCAAAATTCTATCTATGACAATGGTATGATGCATCTCAATCTGGATTAATATTCAATAATTCAGGCGTTGCGCATCCGTGTGATTTATTAATTGTGCCCATCAGGAGGCTTGCAAAGAAAGCTCTCAAGCGCAAGTAGCCTCGGCAGCATGGAGGAGAGCTATTTTCTGCAAGCTTCGCTTGATTCGTCAGATAAATCTTCTGAGAAGAGAAGCATGCCTGAAGCAACTATGAGTCCATACTACATGAAGAGCATCACACCGAGTGCTTATGAAGCCACACTTCGACAGAAAGAGGGTGAACTTGCTTCTTACATGTCCCGCTTGGTAGGTGTAAAAAGTATACATTTGTTCATTTCTGTGTAGCTCCTCCAATGGTAGGCTTTTGGAAACTGGCGTTGAAATGGGAATTAGGCTCAGATTCGACCTTGGATAGGTTAAAATGGTGTACTATGAATGTTTAGGGGATCGTACTGAGAAATTGTCGTTGTTTTATAAGCTGGTTTAGAATGTTTAGCTCTAGTTGTATAGGCTTGTTCTTAGTATCTATCATCCTCTAATTTAGAATCCTTAACTGTAAAATTTTAACCTATTTTGGTGGAATATTGTCTTGTGACAGGCGTCAATGGAGTCTATTCGAGATTCCCTAGCTGAAGAACTAGTCAAAATGACCGCAGAGGTATGTATATATAACGCCGAGAGTTTTAGAGTTGTTGTTTTCCTTATTAAGGATGTTACATCTATATGTTTGGTCACTGTGGATGTAGTGTGAGAAATTAAGAGGGGAAGCGGACAGGGTGCCGGGCATAAAAGCAGAGCTGGAAGCACTAAGGCAAAGGCATGCAGCTGCTCTGGAATTGATGGGTGAACGAGATGAGGAGGTAAGATATATGTGAATAAATTACTTGTAGCCAGCAATAACAGTGGTAGGCGTAGAGTTAAATAATGATAATAATGTGGGGTTTGGTGGTAGTTGGAGGAACTTCGAGCGGATATAGTGGACTTGAAGGAAATGTACAGGGAGCAAGTGAACATGCTGGTGAACAAGGTAAGACAAAGTTTGAGTCAAAATGTTTAACAGGCTCTCATGGTCTCAAGCGTTTGTGCATTTTTGGGTTAACAGATCCAATGAGAAAGCAAGCGAAGAACGAGCGTTGACAATCATCCATGTTTCCTCCTATTGTATAGCTATAAGCTACCACCAACCTAAAGCACAGCTTTTCATTTATTCCTTCTTTATAAGCTTTGTAAACCAAACTATTGCTGCTTCGAACGAAGATTTTGTTACTGTTTATTTCGGAGACAAAAAGAGAATTGAGTGCCACTGTGTAAGTTGACTGGAGTCATTAGTGGGATTTGTTAAAGAAGCATAGTATATGAATTAGTAGAAGCCTGAGTCAAATGTGGCCTAATAACTGAGAGTTGTCACAATCAGGAAAAAAAGATTAAATGAATATAAAGCCCAAAAGGTATCTTGCTTACTAGAAAGCCTAGGAGGCCTCTGTCCTTTTGCATGGCGTCATCTCAGTTTCATTCCCACAAAAGTTTGGTCATTTTTTTCTGATTAATTTAGAGTGGGGCCTAGGTGAGGTCGGCAGCAATGGTAATGTGGTAGGGTGGAGGGGGAAGCAGGTGATTAAAACCCGGCGTATCGTCTCTCGCGAGAAGAGTGAAGAAGCATAGTGTATGTGGCAGAGAGCATATTTATATAAAGTGTTGCGTATGACTGTATGAGGGATGGTTAAGCTCCAAACTTTTTAAGTAAAAAGAAAATAAAAAGTGACTTATTTCTTCGACTCGACGATTCCTCTTGATCATTTCTCTCGTCTGCCTACAGGTACTATTTGTTTCTGGTTTTTGATTCTCTCATTGATCACGAAGCTGCTCCAAGATCTGCCATTGCTTTTTTCTTTTTTTTGGATTCCAACTTTTGTTTCTGATCTACATTGCCAATGTGAGAAACTTTTTGCATTTTTTTTTATGTACCGTCAGATCTCACTTTCTCATGTTTGTTTCTCCTTTTGGGTGTTTTCCGAGTATGAGTTTGGAACTTTCTTAGTAGCTTACGTCGTCATGTGTGATTTCACTTTCTTTCTTTTTTAATTTCTAAATCGATCTCTAGAAGGTTTAATTTGAAATAAACTGGTGCGTGTTTGTATGGCTTTACTTTAGCTACTACAATGGCGTTGCATGTCCACTGAATTTATCGTATGATTTCATATGTGCAGTAATAGTAGCGAGGGGGGTGGGGATGGATTCTGTTAGACGCACCTACACGATAATGAGAGGCCGCAACATTGACAAGCGTGTTCCTTCTAAAGAGTCTCTCTTTTCTCTCGATAAAGCTGAATCTGCAGGTTCCCCCTTTTTCTTTGTCATCTTCCCACGTGCCAATAGTTAAAGATGTTGTTCGGATTTGGTATCAAAGTGAAGATAAAATGTACACTATAGTAAATCAAATAAAAACAAGAAAAGATTACCTTTTACAGTTGTTTTGTGCAGACTGAATGATGTCTTAGATATATAGGAGGACTTCTTATCTGTGTTCATTAACTTTTAGATTGCAAAACTCCTCTGAATTTGTTTGTAACATTGGATTTACCAACTCCTTACTCGCACTTTGGTTTGTATATAACAAAAAAGACTTGACTGTGAATTTCAGTGCGTGGGACGGGAAAAGATATTGGGAATCCTTCATGGAAGCGATCTCTGCCTCACGTATTCGTTGCATCTCTCACCTCGCTTTTATTCGGCTATCACCTTGGGTGCGTGTCAATATAGACTTCTCTCATGCTGCTCTGCCTTGCTATCTTTTTTTTTCTTTTGTTGATATTGCCTTCTCTTGTCTATGTTACTAAAGCATTCAATCTTTATATACCTCAATGACTCTGTTTCTTTTAAATTCTATGTAAATTGGGAAGAATACGTAACTCATGCTTCTGGATGTAGGGTTGTTAATGAAACTCTCGAAAGCATTTCAATTGATCTTGGCTTTAGTGGCAACACCATCGCCGAAGGTAAATAGCTTTATGTTTCTGTTTCTTCAGTCATCGTTTCTATCCTTCTGTGTCTGATCACTCCAAAAACCTTTTTGAAGGTCTTGTTGTTAGTACGTGCTTAGGTGGCGCCTTTATTGGATCTCTGTTCAGTGGGTTGGTCGCGGATGGTGTTGGCCGCCGTAGAGCTTTCCAGCTGAGCGCTTTACCAATGATTATTGGAGCTTCTGTGAGGTGATCCTTTTTTCTTCTACTTAACCTTTTTTTTGTTTAGGCTGTTGATTATGTATGAATGTTTTGTTTTCTCTTAGAAGTTTCCCTTGCAGATGTGAACGTGTATGTGTCTACTTATTTGAACATTTTAGATTTAGATTTTTGCTTAGTCCTTATGTAATAAGGGTTACATTTATTCTCACTGTGACAATTTGTTATTATGAGCAATTGGTTATTCGTTTTAACATATTTGGCCTCTAGTCCTGCCTTGGTGGGTTTTCACTTTTATTCTAAGGTTTCTCTTTAAAAATAACGAGATTTGTGTGCTTACAAATGTATTGTTTGCAGTGCAACAACTGAGAGTCTTGAGGGCATGCTCCTGGGAAGGTTTTTTGTCGGAATTGGGATGGGCATAGGTCCTTCTATTACGGCTCTCTATGTCACTGAGGTACTTTATTCCTGCACTTGTTTTTCTATGATCGCTACATGAAATTGCATCCCCGCAGACTGTTGATATGAATATAATTTGATGTACAATCATTGATGAGTCTTCGATTTCATCCTTTGCATCAACAAAGTTACAACAACAACAAAAGTTCTTCCTACAGTTGGGATTCAACACCAATTTATTTTATTTTATCAAAAGCTGTTTGGTGGTATTGTAGTAGATGCACGTTTCAGACATTTAAGGGGTGAACTAGACCATTAGCATGCAGAAGTTCATCGGCACACTTAAAATTCATTTTAATAAAAGCTTCTATCTTGAAAGCTTTATTCGCATTAGTGGATTTACTTAAAGTAAACAGAAGATTCTCTAGGCACATAACTTTCACTAACTTGCCTTATCGATACATCTTATTTAGAGCCCGGCTCACATTTTCACTTTGCAGGTGTCACCTGCTTATGTGAGAGGCACATATGGCAGCTCTACCCAAATTGCGACATGTATTGGGCTCTTAGGTTCACTATTTGCTGGAATCCCAGCAAAAGACAATTTGGGCTGGTAAGATTTGACACGAACTTGTGGAAAACAAGGGCCTCATTATTGACCAGACTATACCGTCTGGAGATCTTGGCAGAATGATCAGCTAATAGGTTTCATGTACTTGATTGTCTAAGGTGGCGTATATGTTTTTGGATATCCACAGTCCCAGCTGTAGTCCTTGCCGTTTTCATGGAACTCTGTGCCGAAAGTCCTCAGTGGCTTTTCAAGGTGACCTTTTCTCATTTTAAACCTCCTAGCTTCTAAAGACATTGTCATAAACTATTTGATTTGTTGATTCTTTTTCCCTGTTTTACTCTCAGAGAGGAAGGGCAGCTGAAGCTGAAGTCGTGTTTGAAAAGTTACTGGGAGGGGCATATGTCAAAGCTGCCATGGCAGAGTTAGTGAAGTCAGATAGGGGTGATGACGGTGATTCAGCCAAATTGTCGGAATTGCTTTTTGGACGCAGTTTTAGAGGTACGTGTGAATCATTAAACCAACATGATTGTGACAACTTATGGCATTTTTATCTCAAATATTCCGGTAGTGCTGTCTAGTGAAATCTTAGGTTTAGAGTTTGATTTCCACTGAGCCTAGACATTGGATGAAATGAGATTGGGGTTAGACTGATCGCAATAAAGTTTATTCATCTAGGTGGAGTGTATGTTAGCTGGTTTCCCTAGCCAAAAAGAGTCATTGTCATTTTGCAAAAAAAACATATAAATGACATGTGAAGCCTCTAACTTCATTCCTTTTACGTTTTAATTTTCCCCGTTTGCAGTGGTTTTCATTGGATCTACCCTTTTTGCTTTACAACAGTTGTCTGGGATAAACGCTGTATTCTATTTCTCATCAACTGTCTTCAAGAAAGCTGGTGTACCTTCAGCCTTTGCTAACATATGTGTGGGAGTATGCAACCTCTTAGGTATTGAAGTGTCATGGAAAGAAGAGATTCAAAAGTTTTCTTTTCAACATTCTGAAACTGTCAAGTGAAATGATGACCTGTTTTTTAAAACTAATGTAAACACACCATTCAATGTTGTCGTACAGGTTCTACTGTAGCAGTGATTTTGATGGATAAGCTGGGGAGAAAAGTATTGCTTATTGGGAGTTTTGCGGGCATGGTAATATGGTTGAGAGCAAGTATCGCTATTTTGAATTAAACATTGACACAGCTGATACATAACAGAGCTCTTCCATCTTTAACAGGCAGTATCGCTGGGTCTCCAAGCGATGGCACATACTTCGTTTTCATCACATTTTGGAACCTTGTTTCTCTCGGTCGGAGGAATGCTACTGTAAGTTTTCTGTAACATGTCAACTATGATGTTAGCTTATGAAAGCGGGTGTAAACTCGACGATGCAAATGCAGGTTTGTGTTGTCGTTTGCAACTGGAGCTGGTCCTGTTCCAAGTCTTCTCCTGTCTGAGATATGCCCTGGTCGTCTTCGGGCAACAGCATTGGCTATTTGTCTTGCTGTTCACTGGGTATGGCTTTTTTCCCCTTTTTATAGGAAATGGATGTAATGTTGAAACAATAATAAGCTTTGGAGAAATGACGCAACAACAGGTAATAAACTTCTTCGTGGGGCTGCTGTTTCTAAGAATGCTGGAGCAACTAGGTTCGGTGCTTCTAAATGCAATCTTTGGATTCTTCTGCGTGGTGGCAGTTATCTTTGTGCAGAAGAACGTGATTGAGACTAAAGGGAAGAGTCTCCAAGAGATAGAAATCAGTCTGCTCTCTGCCAACCAGTGATTTTTTTTCTTCCGGGAATTCACATTGCTCGTATAATATGTAAGACTAATATGGAAAGTAGGAGCGAGTAGTAAGTAGGCATTACATGTAAGGAAATGGATTATTCAAGTATAGCCCGACGACATTCCAATTTGATTTTCTAATAAAGAAACCGAGAAAAAAAAATAATATTAAAATCAGATTTCTATGAATCCCTCTCTCAAAAGTTCACCGCGGTGAACCCCGATGACCCCGGGTTCACCACGTGTCAACATATGATTGGTCCAAAATTAACTTTTTTTTTTTTTTTTAAAAGTAAACGAAAATAAAAAAAAAATTATTTTTTTTATTTCTATGAACCCCCAAGGGGGGATTCATTAATGTGGGTGCTCTAATGGTTTACACACTTTTAATATACCTATCCCTAAAACTTGTTTCTTGCAGCTCTTATCCTTCACATGTTGTTCCTTTATCGTATAGCCTCTGTTTGCAAACACCCCTTCTAATCATGTTTCTTCTGATGTTTGCCTTAGCTCGTTACACTTGGTTTCTTCAGTAAATATCTGTAATTCTTCTCACTCATTTGCCACTTGAAACACCTTCACGTCGTATGGCAACCACAGGCTCGTTACATCTAAGACACCGGAATGATGCTGCTGAAGCGCAGCGGGTCCTTATACAGTAGTAACAGTACCTGCCAATAACTCACTCTTTTAAGTTTTAACACATACTGTGAATCGCCTATAACATCACTTCTGTGTTGTCTATAACTTCCCCAATGAATCCTCATATACGCAATCACATGCAGTTACCTGGCTTCTAGTATAGTTAACTACTACATATCTGGGGAGACCCTACTCCGATCCACTAAATTTGCAGAGGGATTAAACCCATACCTGTGCTGGCAAGGCAGAGCAATAAACGGAGTTGCAGGATCCACTTGGCAAATGGGGCAAGCAACTGTATCCTCTTTATTGCTTGAGGACCTTTCCTTGGCAAATGGACTAAGAATATTCTTTATAGCTGAAGAGTTGAGCAGCGGCAGAAGCAACAAAAGCATTTCCTGAATACAACAAAACAAATCTAAATCTGAATGCCAAACAGAACCAGGAAATGAGATCCAACAGAACACTTCTGCCAGTAAACAAGAGACGTATACTCATCAATTAAGCCAATAAGTTTTAAAATAATGTTTTTGACTTGTTGAAGGACCTCAAAGAGAATTTTGAACTCCATGAAACTGTTGAGTGTTGAGTCACGTTTTCAGATTGTAACAGGTCAAAGTTCAAGCAAGCAAAAGTGTTTCCTTCAAAGACAACGGTAAAGGTTAGGTGAAAGAGGGTCGCAGTCATTTTCAGTTTCAATCATAGCCCAGAAACCATTAGCCCAAGGATGATACTCAGAGAATTGATAGGTTCCAAACTTTCAAGTTGATTATTATGGCATGTGTAAAGAGACACACAGAAGAAGATGACATACCGAAAATTCATTCCAGACAAGTTGACGATTCATGTACTCGAAGCTGACAGATCGGTTCATATGGGGACTCCTATAGACAAGCCTTGCTCTTAAAGCTTTTTCAATGAGGTTCCTATACCTGGAACAAAGAAAGGGTAAAGCATGCGTGATTTTGGTTCTCATTTCAATCTTTCATCGTGAACTTGGAAGTTAATAAACATGTTTCTTATAACTTTTCTGAATATCACAATATTTTTAAGTCTCCATCAAATCTGTATTTATTTTTATTTTCACTTTGGCACCTACGAGGCTACACTAAGAGGCTACCAATAGATGTGTTCGAAAAAGCACCGCAAAACAAGAAATTGGCTATGCCAATTTGAATAACGGCAGATCTTTAGGACTCAGTGAACAGTTAATATTCATAGATTAATACAATACGGTAATCCTAACAATACATCCTCTCATCAACTGAACCAGGCATAAGTTGTCATCTCATAAAAGCTACATGCAATTCTCAAGGCTCCGTAAAAGCTGTTTGTCCTAGCGTTTAGTAACTAATAGCTGATTGATTCTTAGTGCATTCAATCAAATTAAATCAAATGGTCATATCACAAGTGACCATGAATGTACGGAAGGAAGCCTTACTTTCCGGTATAAAGAAATGACAAGAGGTTAAGAAAAGAAGCAGCTTTATAGATGCCTTCGATTCGTTGAATGAGGGTCCAAAGTCGCCTAGCCAATGGTCTCTGCTCAGAATCACCCCATCTTCGGAAAGCAGAAAACGACTGCAACCGAGAGAAGAGGTACTGACCACCAACAGAGGCAACACAGTACCAAATCTTCTGAGGAGAAGTAAGCCCTGGGCCTTCAAGTCCTGTTCTGACTACAAAAGAGACAGAACATGAGTGAGTAAGACAAGTAAAACAAAAAAAAGAAGGTACTGAACTGAACTGAACTAAATAAATAATTACTGAACTGAACTAAATAATTTACCTTTTCCGGATAATTGAGCAGCAACTCGTTCATCTCTGTATCTAAGATTCATGAGAGCATTGCCAGGGGTAGGTTTGTCAACCCAAATAGAGAATCTCCAAATGAGAAACTCAAGGAACGCATCTAATTCTGGTTCGTATTGAAAGATCATTCCTGGCTAAACAAAACATGAGCCGTGCAGTGATTTTAAAAGAAAGAAAGACTGAGAATTGATTAATTAATGAAGAATTGAATATATACCTTGGCCAAAGTGAAAACCTTAACCAACTGTTCCTTCAACATAGCAGACATTTCAACATCTAGCCGTGCAGCGTCGAACTGATTTACTCTAGAAATTGCAACCGCTATAACTGACTGTAACCATAACCCCACATATACATATAAGCCAGGTTTTAGAGAGGATAAAAAACAAAGATGAAATCATCCACATACTCGTTGGGAAGAGAGAAGCGATTGAGATTCGGGCAGTAAGCGTTGATGAGAACGAATCCAAGCATCGTCAGGAGGAGGCGGAGGCGTCGTCATCGGCAAGCTTGTTGAAAGGCCTCCTGCTGCGACCGTCTTATCTAGTTTATAGCTTGTTTCTTTTCTTTTCCGATGTGGATCCGACAAGCTTTTTTATTTCATATTCTTTTTTTTCTTTGATTTGTACAATTGGGCCATTTTTAATTTATATTTTTCTTCTTTAATCTTTACAATTGGGCCATTTTTAATTTATTGTATTGGGCATGCTTGCAAACTACTATACTACTAGGCCCATTAGTTACTGAGACGGCTATTTTTCATTAGGGAGGGAGTTAGGAAAGGCTAGGGACCGGTTATTAAATGCGATCGTTTCGTTTTTTTTTGTAACACTAAAATCCGGTGGTCGAATTAGTTCATTGGTTTTTTTGTTATACGATTGTTTTGTTTAGTAGTTAATGAAGAAAACGTAAAATTAATAATATCTTAAAAGTTGGATGACAAAAAAACGTAAACTAAACAAAAGCTATGGTTTGCATCAGAAAAGAGCAATAAGAAGTGCGGCAAATGGAAGGACGAAGGAAGCGAGCTGGGAGGAGGAGGCAGCAGAAGAAGAAGGATCAGGATCAGAGTCAAATCCAGATGCAGAGGGAGAGGAGGCAGAGAGAGGCGACATGGCTGGAGGCAAGGAAGCGTCGTGGTGGTGCTGGTGGTGGTGGATATGCATCACTTCGACGATAAGACGCTGTCCACTAGTGCAATGACCATCGGAGCCGCTAATGAAGTAGAAGAGACCAGGACGGTCAAGGAAAAACGTGCTGTTTCCATTGTCAAACGCTGTGATTGGATCGCTAGCGTCGCAGTGGTAGAAACCCGACTTGTCCACTTCCATCACCGAGTCCTTGTCGTACACAAACGCTACAAGCCAGCCATTCTCTTCAGTTAATTTTAATCTCCCAAAAATAATTAAAAATTAGGAAACAATTAGCTACTCACTGAGAGAATCGCCGATGTGGAAGCGGTTGGTGCTCGCCCAGTGGCTGTAAACCGATGTATCATTCTGGAGTGGAACTCTCCACTGGAACTCGTCTCCAACCTTGAAAACTCTAGGACCTTCTGAAGTTACCATCACTGCACTAATGCACAACAAAACTGTTATCATGAGACTGCACCGAGACAGAGGAGATGTCATTTTCATCTTTGTTAAAAAAAACAAATAAAAATGTATGAATGATGCTTGTTTTGAGAGGAGATTGGTTCTTTGATTAGCTTTTGAGTAAAAAGTAAAATGGTAAAGGAGAGGCGTTTTTATAATGATGGGGAGAGAAGCATTACCTATATTGGCGGTTGAGTTGAGCAGTCCGAGTAGTGGATGATTCGACGGTTACGAATTAAGGTTTCGTGCAGAGCAAGTCATGGTCCCTTAACCTTCCACTTGACCACGTCACCCTCATTTAATGACGTGGACCAATCAGATTTCACCTATCCGATTTTATCTCAAAAACGCCGCGTTTTGTTTAGTGGCTTTTAATTCTCGCGATGATAATGATGATGATGATCGGGAGAAATAGGGCATTTCTGATGTCGTCGACGGCTTCGGCGGCGGCGATGCATACATTGACGACAGGGGACTTATTCAATCAGAAACTAAACATGATCGGGAAGAAGCGCGATCGAGCTTCAGTTTCTTGCACTCGCAGCGACGCTCCGAAAAGGAAGCTACCGGTTCTCCTCTTCGACGTGATGGACACGATCGTCCGTGACCCATTCTACCAAGACATTCCAGCCTTCTTCGGGTTTTGAATCCTATAATCCCTACTCAACTTTTATCTTTTTTTTTTTTTAATTTTATCTTTATAGCTCCACTAATTATCTTAAATCAAATCCACAGAATGCCGATGAAGGAGCTGCTAGAGTGCAAGCATCCAACAGCCTGGATCGAATTCGAAAAGGGATTGATTGATGAGGAGGAGCTAACAAGAAAGTTCTTCATTGATGGGAGGGACTTTGATTTGGAAGGTGAGGATTCATTAATCTGTTACCTTTGATTCAAATTGTGTATATACTCTTTATCCTTTTGTTTTTTTTTTTTGCAGGGTTAAAGGATTGCATTAGATCAGGATACTCTTATTTAGATGGCATGCAAGAGCTTCTTCAAACTTTGGCAGCTGACAACTTTGAGATTCATGCTTTCACCAACTATCCCATCTGGTTTCACTTTTTTCAACCTCTCTTTGTTTAGAAAATTGGCTTTGTTGATTGATGACTCTCTCTTTGTGTTTTTTTTCTTAAGGTATAAACTGATCGAAGAGAAGTTGAAGCTTTCAGCCTACTTGTCATGGACTTTTTGTTCTTGTAATATAGGTACAACACACATCTCTTGCCACTTATTGTTTTAATACAATACAATCATGTTTTATTTGTTTTTTTTTTTAAATCTAGGCAAAAGAAAGCCTGATCCAGAGTTCTATCTCGAGGTTGTGGAACAACTTGGAGTTGAACCTTGCGACTGTTTATTCATTGATGACAGGTTTGTATCTCTTTTAAGTTTAACTCATCTAAAAGACATCAATTTTTTGACCTGAGGTAGTGTCTGATTCTCAGGCCAAGCAACGTCAAGTGTGCAGTAGAGATTGGGATGCGTGGGTTATGTTTTGAGAATGTAGATTCTCTCCTCAAGGATCTCTCACATCTAGGGATCAACGTCTCTTTACCCAAAATTTAATTTGTTGTAAAATACACTTGAAAAGAACAATACATTTGTTTCGGGGAATGCAAGTGATCATAATAATAATTAGAGTCTTGTCTTAGATTATATAAAGTAAAGCAAACAAGAAGAGAGAATCCCATGAGACTAGAGAGTGGAGAGCACAAGGACATTAAAGAGAGAAGAGGAGGCGAGAAAGACGAAGGAGAGCAAGACTAGGAGGAGGGAGAGGGCGACATGATTGCAGAAATAAGAAAGGGTGTTGCAGAAGTCAGGGAGAGGAGTGTGTTTGATGCCTGTTTTGTTGAGGTTTGTAACTCCAATACCGGCTGATCCAGCGCTTATTATCAAATAGCTGAAGAGCTGCACACACACCACTACAAAGTTATATGTATTGATTAAAAAATCCATACGACTAGTGAATGGAGAATGGGGGAGATGAGGAAACCTGATCGAAGATGAAGCAAAGCCAAGCTTGGGAACGGGAGGGTGTGATTGGTGTTCCAGTGATGAGCCTGTAGATTCCTAGAAAGAGGTGGAACAGGGAGTAGAGGATGGTCACCATGCATGTCCCCACCACATACCTTCACACCAAAATCACCTCTGTATTATATTCAAAAAGGCTAGCACAATATTTTCATGTTGTTGTTAGTTTCATGGTTATTTTTTCTGTCACCGGAATTTCTAAACACATTTTAATTTTTTTTTTCCTTTGAATAACTCGATGTATTTTGGTCTCAACCTCGGTAAGCTGGCTTACGTTATCGGCCGGATTATACCTTGGTCAGCCTACATTTTCATTTTTTTCTGTCTTATAATTTTAATATGATCTAATTTGTATAATGCATCCATATTCGAGGGACTTACTGATAGGCGGGAGAGAAAGACCAGCTGGAGTTGAGAGTGAGCGTGAAGCCATAGATGTCAGCCACACCCTTCTCTTTTGCCATCACCATTACCGCCATAGCCGTGGCTGAAGCAGCTAAGCAGCCTCCTCTGAGGGACACCTGCACCCCCTCCCTCCTTCTCCTCCTCTTCTCGGCCACTTCATCCTCTCCATTTCTGTTCATTCGATCTACCTTTTTTAGCTTCTTTTTTTCTGCTCTCTACTCTAAGCTTTGAAAAGCACAATCAAAACTCACTCGTTCTTCTTATACAAGTAGTCCTTTTTTCGTGTTGCTTCACTTCCTCTTCTACCTCTTTCATTCTCTTTTTGTTTATAATTATTATTTAATATATACTTCTTTATGTTGCTTACAAAAAAATACAAAAACTGTGAATCCATATTTCAAGCCACGTTCCTTCCTTTCTTGTATATATATTTTGTAGAAAGATAGAGAAATGAAACATCTCTGTTAGGACTTACCAGGTACAATTAGCGTGCCTCATGTTCTCTGCGAATTCAAATTACCCAATTTTGAAAGGCATTTATATTTTTTTCTTATGTCACACTTGCCTTCATTCATCATGTTACCGTTAAAACAACTGGGATAAGAGAATATCAGGAATCACAAGGAAAAAAACAAAGTATCACAAGTAAAATCCTTGTCTTTCAAGTTTCAACAGAAACAGAATCCTTCTAAAAATGGAAATTGAGACAACTAATATAAAGTGGACACATATAGGCATGGATTCGGATACCGAATCAGACTCGGGTCGGGTATTTCGGATTTCGGATATTTTGAAACTAAAAAAATTGGTACCATTCGGATATTTCAAAATTTCAGATCGGATACGGTTCGGTACCTCTCGAATCCAGTTCAGATCAATTATATCCGAACTATCCAAAAGTTTTACGGATTCGGTTCGATTCTATGTGTTCAACAAAAAATTAATACAAAAGACCCAAATTTATCCCAAATATCTGACTCTAAATATACACAAATCAAAATGGATAATTCTTGATAATCTTAAAGATAAACCAAATCAAATGAAACTAAATCATCTTAATACAGAAAAATCCAAAGTTGGTAACAATTATCAAGGAGATTTGAAAATGGAAATATCATTTAGAATTATAAAACTACTTTACTAGTCTACATATCGAATCTATTCGGTACTGGTTCGAATCCCGATATAATATGAACCGATAGATACTGGTTTGAATCCCGATATAATCTAAACCGATCCGATACCTGAAACATTTTACAAACTATATCCGATCGGGTATTTATGTATATCCGATTTTTCGGATCGGTACCAGTTCGGATCCGGGAAATATGCTCAAGCATAGACACATATCGTAGACTTGGCATGTCACAAGGACCCATCAAATGCAGATGAGTTCTATAAGAACGAACAACCATGGGATCAGGCCCACTGCTCATTCTTATGGATAGCACAGTCAAGTGTAGACTATAACTGTTCTGATAGCTACAGAGATTCAAAAAAAAAAAGAAAAAAGATAACAATAATAATATAATGCATGGCCATACTTGTAAAATATACACTATACATTGAATGCTGTTGGCCCACACTTTTTTTTTTTTGAGAAATTGTTGGCTTGACAAGTTGGATCAGGAATATCTCACTTTATTAGGCTATATAATCAAGTGTGTATTAGGGACAATTAAATTAAACGTTATGATAATGATCATATTAGACAAATTAAGCAAAGTGATATATCTATCTATATATATATATATATTGAAAGAGAGAGTGAAATGGTTAATTAAGGTCTCTGTTGATGGCAGGAATACAGCTTGAAGTACGGGAAATGGCAGGCTTATTGTGAATACTAGACATTGGTTTAGAGCTCATAGACTGACTCCTAGTACATTTCCTGAGCATATCTCTCATCGCCTCAGCTTGGAAGAGAGCAGGATACTCCCTCCCAAGCTTGTTGAACCTTAGGCATGCACTCATGTGTTCCTTCAAGGCCCCTTCTAGCCCATTCTCCTCATTCTTCTCTTTTTCCTCCTTCACCGCCTCTGAGCAGAGACCACAAATCCACTTCCCAAAGAACTTTTCCCTCACGTTCTCTATGTACTCCTTAGTGCACTCCTCCTTCATCCCGCAGCACTCGCACTTTGCCTTCTCCACCTCTGTTATCGCCCCTAATCCTTTCTCTTCTCTGTGGAAATTCAATGATATGTCTGATAAGGTCCTTTGCAGTGACTTCGTCTCTAGCTTCGGTGGCGGCGGAGGCTTTACCACGCTTCCGCTCACGCTCTTCCTTCTCCCGTTTGGTGCCATCCAATCTTCTTATTCTTTTTTAATATATATTCACTATAGCTATGTATATATGTCTCTGAAGGTTTTGTATTTATAAGCGGTTAATGTATTCATTGTGTGGTTCGGTATTGCCATCTCACGTACGTGCTCATGCAATAGCGACCTCCTTTACAGCTTTACATTTTACTTTTCACAACTATACTAATTAATGAAGCCATCAAGTGATCACTAATTCACGTGTCTCAAATTTAGTACAATGCAACTGGCAGCTAGCAACCTTTAACTACAACTTAACTATCTCTAGTGCTTATCTATAATAATAATGGGATATAAAATTATATACATGGGATCAAATGTAAACAAACATACGAGTTAGTTTTGTTTGTCATTAATCTCAACTGGATTTGGTGTGTCTATTTTCTTACGGAATTTTAAACTCTTCAGAATTCACATTAGGTATACATTTCGTACCAAGAAACTATAGAAGGAAAACAGATGAGCTTAAATAATATGCATATGTCATATGTTAGCCAAACGTGAATATATGTACACATTTAAGTAATTAAAAGCAAGAGCTCAAGAATTGTGTGGAGGTAACAATGATAGGTCACGTGTGCGTAGGTTTTGTTTAACCACACAAAACAGAGGAACAACATGGACTCGAAGAAGACCACTCATGATGAAGTTTAAAGTTGAGACTTGTAAATTTTCTCAACTCCAAAAAAAGAGAAGGGTTGTTTTAAACTTAGTTTTGCGATAACTTGTAAAGTATTGGAGATCACGTGCATACATATCTTGTGTTAGATGCTGCGTTCAGGGTTCACCACAAACTCTATATCTCCTGTCGTCGTCTCCATTACTTTGTTACTATAGTTACATGCACGGTGCACCTTTAAGAAAAAACAACATTATATTATAGTTTCACTTGTTTACATGCATATATTTTAAATCAAAAATAGATTATCAGTTTAGCTTCTGTACATATACACGGTAAGCTTCCTTGTTGTGAACAAATGAGTATATGTTTCTAACGCCCAATGCTACTGATTGTTAGTTTCAACTCTCAAGTATCTACCATACCAACTCACATTTGCACAGTAAATAGTCCAAAGATGGTTGGGCATGGAAATGTGGAATATTGGTTTGATGGATTAAAGGCTAAAAGGAGTTTGACACACTTGTTTATAAAGGAAAATAAAAAGGAAGCAAGACATGTTCCAAAAAAAAAAGAAGCAAGAAGTGTGAAATGATCAAGTAAAGAAGAAAGGGAGGAGGAGTGTGAGAATAAGAGCAACGAAGAGCTGTTGGTAGATGGAAATGGTATTCTTCTCCTGATGATGAGTAATTATTGCGGCATCACTGAGAAGAGTAGTCGTCGTAGTAGTACTAGTAGTAGTAGTAGCAGTGTAGAGGAAGGAGATAGAAACGACATGACGAGGAAGAGATGCATGAGCTGATCTGTGAAGAAGAGGCCTCCCCACAACAGATTTAAACCTCCCGCTCCAGCCTTGATCGCCAACCGTCACCACGACCGCATCTGGACGCGGGGAGAAGGAGAACCAACCTCTTTTGGAATAGACATGGAACTCTGCATGGCAGAAGTTGAGGCACAAAGAATGTCTTTCATCATACCCTCTTATCAGCATCCTTATTGCTTCTTCCTCTTCCCACCCTTGTGATTCGATTTGACTATTAGTATGCTTCTTCACGTAGCAAACCCCTACACCTTCTTTTTCTTCTTCTTCTTCCTCTTGGCTTCTCCCTCCTAACTTTTCTCTAATGGCCTTCCCTATCCTCTCTGCCTCCCCCATCAACTCCCTGCATCTTTCATATTAGTTCCCTTTCATTCTTAAAATCTAATACTCCATCTGTTGTGTAATAGATGATGTTTTATAAGATTTTTATTGTTTTAAAATATAAAATGTTTTAATATTTTTATGTTATCTTTAACTTTAGTGAAAATTGTGTAACCAATAGATTTTTTGCTCACTTTTATAATTGGTTAAATATTTTTTAAATTATATTTTTAAATTACTTTTTTTTTAAATGCATTAATACATAACACCATGTATTTTGAAACAGATGGAGTATGTTTCTTGACATACCTCAAATCTGAATTACAAGCATCATCCACATCTTTATAAAAAACGAACTCCTCATCTGTCTCATCTTGGAAAATGGTTTTGTCAGCAGCGGCTCTCACCTTAGCCTCGGGAACACCGTGATTGATGAGCTGAAAACAACCGATGGTATCGATGGCATCCATGAGGAGGAACGAAGAGGAGCCTAACCGGAGGAAATCAAAGGTGGGAGGGTTCACAAGGAATCTGTGTCTGGGGAAGACTTTGTCGGGCAATACAAGATTTGGGACTCGACCACACTTATCCAAGAACTCTGAGAGGATGTCTTCATTGGCTGTGAAGGAGGACCGTCGGCTGGATGCCACGGGAGAAGGAGGAGGAGCTCGGAAATCAGGAGATGGAACTCCCATTTTTTTGCTTAGTTAAGTTTAGTACTACTACTACAACATGTATAATTTTTTTCAGGCTTAATATGTAGAGGAAGGAAGGGTCATCGAAAAAAATAAAAAAAGGGTTTGCTATATAAAGCAAGAGCATAATGATGAGATGCAATTCTATTGTTTGCTTTTCTTCACACTTTCTTTCTTATATATATGATTGTATATCTACTTTTTCCAACTTTCTCATTTCAATTCCAGCGATGAAAGTTTCATCGATCATGGTATTATTACTCAGGATGTATATATTCGTCAATGGACCCAACTTGGGCCATAAGTTTCCTTTTTTCTTGGATCTCCGATCATCTAGTAGCAAACGGGCTTCATCGATTCGTGATATATCGTTAAGTTCTTCCTTATAAAAAATCAGAGGTAGATGATGATAGAGCTACAGCTGTCTCTTGCATTCAATACAGTACCTTTCTTGTTGAGGGATGTCAGAGTCCTGAATTTTTAACACCTTAATCTTGCATTTAAATCACATGTTGTTTGGTTGCAGGAAGAAAATTGTTTTTTTTTTTAAATCACATGTTGTTTGGTTGCAGGAAGAAAATTGTTTTTTTTTTTTAAATCTTGTTTTGTTCTGGAAACTGGAAAATCACACAAAGAAAAAAAGAAAATATTTAAAGGACGCGATATTTTTATCTGTATAGAAATTTTAAACAATGTTGTTTGACTTTTCTCCTTCGCTTGCAAACTCGATCTATTGACCAAGTCAGCCAATTAAACCTCTTACCTGTGTAAACTAAACCCTACAAAAGTCTCCATGTCAAATTTACTCTATGATTCTAGAAGTAGATATGCCTTCCCCACTATATCTGGTTCCGGTCTTCCCCAAATATGTTGAATTGACTCATTCATACGCAATTTCTCAAATCCTAGACCGTAATGACCGTTTTGTGCACACAATGACTTAATAAGAGCCACTCTCTCTCTTCTAGAGTCTCTTTTTTTCTTTTTACCTTCAAAAACAATGCTAAAAAAACTTACTCACTTCAAGTCCTCTCGATCCTCTTGTTGTTACCTTTTGTTGACTTTGAAGATAACAGAATCGATTAGTTTATTAAAGAAATGTTCAATTATTACGTATTTGATAGAGATAAAAAACAATAAAATAAAAAATCGGGCGTAAGATAGCCGCCATCCTCAGTCAGCACCCCACATTTGAATAATAGCCTCTTGCACATTTAACGACAAAACCATTTATTTTTCTTTCCAAAGAAGAGAAATAAATAGAATGAAGAAATATCATGGAAAAGTCCACCTTGACGTTCCTTCTTCACTGCCTATATATCCATTTTTCTAATCCCATCCTCACTGCATCCTTACCATTTCCTCTCTCTCTCTTTCTCCAACCATATTCACAGACTCTTTCTTACAATAGATCAGCCTCTAAACACCCCAAACATTACTTTCCAAAACAGTCAAAGAGAAAGAGAGAAGTTAAAGCAGGGATGGATTACAACCCAAATCTCCCCTTAGGAGGAGGAGGAGGGAGCATGCGGCGAAGCATAAGCAGAAGCGTAAGCAGAGCAAGCAGAAACCTCGAAGACATCTTCTCTTCCGGTTCTAGACGCACACAGTCCGTTAACGACGACGAAGAAGCTCTCAAATGGGCAGCCATCGAGAAACTCCCAACCTACAGCCGTCTCCGCACAACTCTCATGACCTCTGTCATCGAAGACGACGTCTACGGCAACCAGCTCCTCAGCAAAGAGGTCGACGTCACGAAGCTCGACGGAGAGGATCGTCAGAAATTCATAGACATGGTTTTCAAAGTAGCTGAGCAGGATAACGAGAGGATCTTGACTAAGCTTAGGAACAGGATAGATAGAGTCGGAATCAAGCTCCCTACGGTGGAGGTTAGGTACGAGCACTTGACGATAAAAGCGGATTGTTACACTGGTAATAGATCACTTCCTACGCTACTTAACGTGGTGAGGAACATGGCGGAGTCTGCTTTGGGTTTGATTGGGATTCAGTTTGCTAAGAAAGCTCAGCTGACGATTCTTAAAGATATCTCTGGGAGTATTAAACCGGGAAGGATGACTCTCTTGTTGGGTCCACCTTCTTCTGGTAAGACCACGCTTCTCTTGGCTTTAGCTGGAAAGCTTGACAAAGCACTTGAGGTGTCTGGTGATATTACTTATAACGGTTACCGCCTCGAGGAGTTTGTTCCGAGGAAAACATCTGCTTATATTAGTCAGAACGATCTCCACGTGGGGATTATGACGGTTAAGGAGACTCTTGATTTCTCTGCTAGGTGCCAAGGTGTTGGTACCCGTTACGGTATAAACAACAAAACAAAATCTTTTGGTTGTTTATTTATTTTTTATTATGTGTGGTCTTTTGTTGAATTAAATGAATGGGATTTTGCTTCTTGCAGATTTGTTGAATGAGCTCGCAAGGAGAGAAAAAGACGCTGGGATCTTCCCTGAAGCTGATGTTGATCTGTTCATGAAAGCCTCTGCTGCTCAAGGGGTTAAGAGCAGCCTCATCACTGATTACACTCTCAAAGTGAGCTCCTCTTCCTTATTCAAATCTTTTTAAATTCTTGTTTTTAGATATGAATTTTAGGAGTGTAAGCTGTAGTTGTTGTGGCTAGTAAAAATATGAATTTTATGATTCTTCCTAGAAAATTTCTGTTATTGTTTTGGCACAATACTTATACTAATTAGTAAAACTCTGATACTAATACTAGTTAGTAAAAATATGAATTTTATGTAAATATGAAATTTAGGAGTGTAAGCTGTACTTATTGTGTTGTGGCACAATACTAAGACTAGCTAGTAAAAATATGACTTTTATGCATCTTTCCAGAGATTTTTCTATTGTTATTGTTGTGGAACAATATTAAAATACTAAGTAAAAACTCTGATACTTGGAAACAGATTCTGGGACTTGACATTTGCAAAGACACAATAGTTGGAGATGACATGATGAGAGGCATCTCCGGAGGTCAGAAGAAACGTGTCACAACTGGTGAGATGATTGTGGGGCCTACTAAGACGCTTTTCATGGACGAGATATCCACCGGTCTTGACAGCTCCACCACTTTCCAAATCGTAAAATGCCTTCAGCAGATCGTCCACCTCACAGACGCCACGGTGCTCATGTCTCTCCTCCAGCCAGCTCCCGAGACCTTCGACTTATTCGACGACATCATCTTGTTGTCGGAAGGTCAGATCGTGTACCAAGGACCCAGAGACCACATCCTCGACTTCTTTGAGAGCTTTGGGTTCAAGTGTCCCGAGAGAAAAGGAACTGCTGATTTTTTGCAAGAGGTCACTTCCAAGAAAGACCAGGAACAGTACTGGGTGGACAGGAACAGACCTTACCGGTACATTCCTGTTTCAGAGTTTGCCAGCAGGTTCAAGTCCTTCCACGTCGGACAGAAGCTTTCCAACGAACTCTCTGTACCTTTTGATAAGTCTCGAGGCCACAAAGCAGCTCTTGTCTTCGACAAGTACTCAGTCTCAAAGATGGAACTTCTCAAGAGCTGCTGGGACAAAGAGTGGCTGCTCATGCAGCGAAACGCGTTCTTCTACGTCTTCAAGACGGTGCAGATCATCATCATCGCTGCAATCACCTGTACACTCTTCCTCAGAACCGAGATGAACACTAACACCGAGGCTGATGCAAACCTCTACATAGGAGCATTGCTGTTTGGGATGATCATCAACATGTTTAATGGGTTTGCAGAGATGGCTATGATGGTCTCGAGGCTCCCTGTGTTTTACAAACAGAGGGATCTCCTGTTTTATCCATCGTGGACATTCACACTTCCAACGTTCTTGCTAGGGATACCAACTTCGATATTCGAATCAACGGCGTGGATGGTGGTGACTTATTATTCAATAGGTTTTGCGCCAGACGCGGGGAGATTCTTCAAGCAGTTTCTATTGGTGTTTCTGATTCAGCAAATGGCTGCTGCACTCTTTAGGTTGATCGCTTCTGTGTGTAGAACTATGATGATAGCTAACACAGGTGGTGCTCTCACTCTACTTCTAGTCTTCTTGCTTGGTGGCTTCCTTCTTCCACGTGGTGAGATTCCTGACTGGTGGGGGTGGGCTTACTGGTTATCTCCTCTCACCTATGCTTTCAATGGTCTAACCGTCAATGAAATGTTTGCTCCTAGATGGATGAATAAACGGGTGAGTGGCTTTATTCTATATATTTTGCAAACATATATATCATAGTAAAGTAGTCTCACTTCTTTTTTTTTAAACTGTAGTCTTTCGACAACAGCACAAGCCTTGGAACCATGGTGCTTAGTAATTGGGATGTCTACCATAATAGAAACTGGTACTGGATTGGTGTTGCAGCCTTGCTTGGTTTCACAGTACTCTTCAACCTTCTTTTCACTATGGCACTTACTTATCTCAACCGTAAGTTCTTGTGTTGTTTACTAATTACTATATTATATGCTTCACCCATAGTAAAATAGACTAATAATGTGTCTTTGTAAAACTACAGCTCTTGGGAAGAAGTCAGGTTTAATACCAGAAGAAGAAAATGAAGACTCGGATCACAGGGCAGGAGGAGAGGTTGCAATGGGAAGAATGGGTAGGAATGCAAACTCTGCAGGTGAAGCATCCAGTGGTGGAGCTGCTAAGAGAGGAATGGTTCTTCCTTTCACTCCTTTGGCTATGTCCTTTGATGACGTTAGATACTTTGTTGACATGCCTGCGGTAACCATCCATCCTCTCTTTTTTTTTCCTCCTTAGTAACATATATATATTAATTAATATTTTCTTTTTTGATTTGTTACAGGAAATGAGAGAGCAAGGAGTAACAGAAAACAGACTACAACTACTTAAAGGTGTGACAGGTGCATTTAGACCAGGAGTCTTGACAGCACTCATGGGAGTGAGTGGTGCGGGCAAGACAACACTAATGGACGTTTTGGCCGGAAGGAAAACAGGAGGATATATCGAAGGAGATGTCAGAATCTCAGGATTCCCCAAAGTTCAAGAGACATTTGCTAGAATTTCAGGCTACTGTGAGCAGACTGATATTCACTCCCCACAAGTGACAGTCAGAGAATCTCTCATCTTCTCTGCTTTCCTCCGTCTTCCCAAAGAAGTCGGCAAAGAAGAGAAAATGATGTTTGTGGACCAAGTGATGGAACTGGTAGAGCTTGACAGCCTCAAGGACTCCATCGTTGGTTTACCAGGTGTCACGGGTCTTTCCACGGAGCAGAGGAAGAGATTGACAATCGCAGTGGAGCTTGTAGCCAACCCTTCGATCATCTTCATGGATGAGCCTACTTCCGGGCTTGACGCGAGAGCAGCAGCTATTGTGATGAGGGCAGTGAGGAACACAGTGGACACAGGAAGAACCGTGGTCTGCACCATCCATCAGCCTAGCATTGATATCTTTGAAGCGTTTGATGAGTTGATGCTTATGAAGAGAGGAGGACAAGTTATCTACGCAGGTCCATTGGGTAGAAACTCTCACAAGGTGGTTGAGTACTTCGAAGCCTTCCCCGGAGTGCCCAAGATTCCAGAAAAGTATAATCCAGCCACTTGGATGCTTGAAGCCAGCTCACTAGCTGCTGAGTTAAAGCTTGGTGTTGACTTTGCTGAGTTGTACAAGTCATCCGCCTTACACCAGTAAGTTACTTCTTTCTTTTTGATTAAATAATAGTAACTAGGTAGTAATCCGCACCGTGATTGGAGTGAAATAGTTGATTAAATTATTTATTTAACCTTGCAGGCGAAACAAAGCTTTGGTGAAAGAATTGAGTGTACCTCCAGCAGGAGCCTCTGATCTCTACTTTGCTACACAATTCTCTCAGAACACATGGGGACAGTTCAAATCATGTCTATGGAAGCAGTGGTGGACTTATTGGAGATCACCAGACTACAACCTTGTCCGCTTCATCTTCACACTAGCAACATCACTCCTCATTGGTACCATCTTCTGGCAAATAGGAGGTAACAGGTCCAATGCAGCAGACCTGACAATGGTCATAGGAGCTTTATACGCAGCCGTTGTCTTTGTGGGAATAAACAACTGTTCAACGGTACAGCCGATGGTGGCAGTGGAGAGGACTGTGTTCTACAGAGAAAGAGCAGCAGGAATGTACTCAGCTATGCCATACGCCATCTCCCAAGTCACATGTGAGCTTCCCTATGTCTTGATTCAGACCACTTACTACTCCCTCATCGTCTACGCCATGGTTGGGTTCGAGTGGACAGCTGCCAAGTTCTTCTGGTTCCTTTTCGTAAGCTACTTCTCATTCCTTTACTGGACCTACTACGGCATGATGACTGTTTCCCTCACACCGAACCAGCAAGTAGCTTCCATCTTCGCTTCAGCGTTTTACGGCATTTTCAACCTCTTCTCGGGCTTCTTCATCCCAAGACCTAAGATCCCCAAGTGGTGGATATGGTACTACTGGATCTGCCCTGTTGCATGGACCGTGTATGGATTGATTGTCTCCCAGTATGGTGATGTGGAGACACCGATTACTGTCCTCGGAGGCCCTACCGGACTCACCGTTAAGCAATACATTGAGATCAATTACGGGTTCGAGTCTGACTTTATGGGACCAGTTGCTGCCGTCTTAGTCGCATTCACAGTCTTTTTTGCCTTCATCTTTGCCTTCTGCATAAGAACTCTCAACTTCCAGACCAGATAAAACCCTCAAAATCTTTTTTTCCTTTTTTCTTTTTGTATCCTTGTGTTTGATAATATATCATATATGCATATGCTCTCTTTCCTTACTATATGTATTCTAGAGTCATAAGGATTTTTTTTTTTTTTATAATTTGATTAAATTTCTCATACAGTCAGTCATATAGATGATGATGACAATGCAGATGTAATAAACTCTCACCCTTGATGTTTTCTTTTTGTTGAATATAAAAAGCAACTTGTTTTTTTCTTTCCTTTTGTCTGTTGCAGGAAGGTTGATCCAAATCCTCTTTTTTTTAGCTTATGATAACGTAAGACTTTCATATGCATCACCATTGGTCTATGGTGAACGACCATCTAGCCCATCTAGTTGAATGATATCATGGTTCCATTATACAGCTTTGTTATCATTTAGCAAGAAAGTTTACCATTGTCTTCTTGATGAGCATCTTGTATTATGACATAGTAGACAATAGAAAAATCAGGCCATGATGATGGATATTTGAATCTCCTTGATTACAAAAATGTTACAGTGCAGAAGCCATGATATCGACAAGTCGAAACGCATATCTACAGATATAGGTTGCATTCGTAAGACACAAGTTAATGCCAAGTGTATGATTTAATAAAGAAACCAGACATAAAATTGCCTAACTTGACAAATGCGAGTGGTAATGGAATGGAATTTTGAGAGAAACTGACCAAGAGCTTGTGGTCAAGTGGTAAAGGAAAAGGCTTAGCATGACACCACATTTCAGGTTCCATACACTTGTCATGCAAAATTATATCACATTTTTTTGGTTATTTTTATACCGATATGGACTACTGTTTTCGGTCTATTTGAATACCCGAGAAAAGATATATCCATAGGGTACACCTCTCACCCAGAGATTAAGTCGTATCTTTAACAGACCCGGATTAAGTTGTTTGCCAAGTGTTACATTAATAGTTACTAGTGAAACGAGACATGAAAGAAACTTAGGTACGAATTGTTTTCATGGTTTTTAGATTTTAGTTTTAGATTCAGTAAATTTTAGTTTTGAAAAACATGAATGGAAATTTTAGATTTTGATTTTACATTTTGGGTTCTTAAATTTTTATTTTTTTCTGTAAATTTATAAAATTTGATCAATAATATATTTAATTTTGTATCTATCTATTACTGAAAAACTTATTTTACAGTTTTATTTTATTAAAGAAAACTTAAAATTATTAAAGAATATATTAAAAAAATTTAACAAATAATACTGATAGATTATTAACAAAATCTATAAATTTTAAATAAAGGTAAATTTAAACAGTTGAATTAATTTTATTTATAAGTTTAAGAAAACCTGTTCTTTTTTAAATTATTTTCATATTTTAATATGTCAAACAAATTATTTTCCTAAATCTTACTAGTGTATAGGGATGTCAAAATGTGTAAACCAACTCAAACCGAACCATATCCAAATGGGTTAAGCTTATATGGATTATGTTTTATGAGTCAACTCGGTATGTTTGACAAATGGTTTGGATTAACCCATAACTCATTTAAGTTAATGATTTTAATGGTTTTAATTATTTATCCATGAATGATAATACTATAGTTTAGATGATTATTAATTAAAATATTATTTTGGGGACTAAAAAAGAAAAAAAAAATTTACTATTGCTTTATAATAGGCAAAAAACAATAATTAAAGGGAAAATAGTGTATAATAGATATTGTTTTATCATTACCTATACTAATGCATAAATATAGTTATACTTAAAATGAAAATGAAAATAATCCGACGTAAAAATATAGTTATATTTAGATTCTCATTTTTAGGAGTTTTTCGCAAAACATAAATCGTGACTATAAATATGGTTTTTTTTTACTCTGAATTTGTTTCTTTATTTAGATTTTTATAACATTTGATTAATGATTTATTCTATTTTTTTTTGTTATTTTAAAAATATTTAGGCTGTTAACATTTGATTGTTAGGTTGTTAGGTTGTTTGATTAACATTTGATTTGAAAAGTAATATAGAAAACAACTTAATAATGGAACGCTAAAAAATACTGAGAAAAATTAGGAATTTAGGCTGTTAGAATTACAGGAAAATAGGAGATGTTGAAATGAAAACTGATATTTTTTTTTCTACTTTTTTACAAAGTTTTGCCATGTCTAAATCTGATCGCTAGCCGACTTGCTTTAGTATATAAAGGATATTACATGCACTTCTTTTAATTCAACCATAATATTTTGTTACTCTAAATATATTAGAATTTTGATCACCTTTATTTTAAATTTTCTTTTATTGTTCTCCTAAATACATAAATATATTTTAGTGAGACTTTTTATAACATTATGTTTTTGAGAATTGAATAAACAAAATAAACTTAAGTGGACTGGTTAAAAATTACTTAAAGGAAAATAAAGATATATTTTGAATCTCATGCATATATATGTTACAAAAAATAAATTGTTAAAATTAGTTAATATTTTATTTTTATGTTAATCTGTTTGAGGTATCCATTATTTATATATAAACATTAATAACATATTACTAAAAATAATATGCTTTCAATTTATTCTTTTTCTTAATATTAGGATTATTTTTTTAAACTTTCCTTTTTATGAAATCTCATTTCCTTTAAATATAAAAATTATTTTCGTACATAGTTTTTCTTTTAGAATCGAAAAGACAAAATAACCTAAAATGTGAAGTAATTAAAATTACATTAAGGAATAAAATATATATTTTGAATCTCATGAAGTAATTAAAATTAAAATATTAACTTTGTTAATATTTTATTTTTATTTTAATTGGTTTGAGGTATCCATAATTTATCTGTATAAAAATTAATAATGTATTACTATAAAATAGTATTTTTAATTAACTATTTTCTTAATATCAAGATTTGTGTTTTTTAATTTTGGTTTTATGATTATATATATATATATACTAGGTGTTTTGCACGCACATGCGGACATAATTTTTCGTATAATCTTTTTTTATAACACTGATAGATTGGGGAACAAAGTAGTACACGAAAGAAAAACAAAATAGAAGATACAATGTCAATAGTTTATTATTAGTCTTTTTTTATTAATTCAAACAAAAATAATAAGTTATGATTTATGTTTTAAAATTAATTATAAATGACAACACTCACATAATAAAATATTCTTAAAAAAAATATATTTACAAATGTGTTGTTTTAATTTATTTTAATTATAATTTTTTCCATCTTAATTTTTTTATTTCTATAATACATAAGAAGTATCTTATTTTTTCAAAATATAATTTTAATAGAAATTCGTTTTTATTTTATAATAAATTTATATGAAATTATTAAAAATATGACAAATAATCAAAATTATCTAAATCATAGAGAAATTACAAATCAGATAATTCACTTAAATTTTCTAATAGAAAATATATGTTCAAGATAACAATCTAACACATAAGAATTATCTTATTTTTTTAAATCTAGTATTATTATATACATTCGTTTTATTATTTAATAAATTATATATATAATTATTAAAATATGATAAATAAGTAAAGCATAAAACCATGGAGAAATTGATAAATCAGCATTGCTTTCTTTGTAATTTTTAATAGAAATTCGTTTTTATTTTATAATAAATTTTATATGAAATTATTAAAAATATGACAAATAATCAAAATTATCTAAATCATGGAGAAATTACAAATCAGATAATTCATTTAAATTTTCTAATAGAATTTATATGTTCAATATAACAATCTAATACATAAGAATTATCTTTTTTTAAAAAAAAATCTAGTATTATTATATACATTCGTTTTATTATTTAATAAATTTTATATGAAATTATTAAAGTATGATAAATAAGCAAAGTATAAAACCATGGAGAAATTGATAAATCAACATTGCTTTCTTTATAATTTTTAATAGAAATTCGTTTTTATTTTATAATAAATTTTATATGAAATTATTAAAAATATGACAAATAATCAAAATTATCTAAATCTTGGAGAAAATACAAATCAGATAATTCATTTAAATTTTCTAATAGAATTTATATGTTCAATATAACAATCTAATACATAAGAATTATCTTTTTTTTAAAAATCTAGTATTATTATATACATTCGTTTTATTATTTAATTAATTTTATATGAAATTAGTAAAATATGATAAATAAGCAAAGTATAAAACCATAGAGAAATTGATAAATCATCATTGCTTTCTTTATATTTAACTATTAATATTTGAACTTAATTTTAATTTCTATGATAAAAAATATATTTTAAAGATAACAATATAATACATAAGAATTATCTTATTTTCTAAAGTAGAAGTTGACAACTAAGAAAATTTACTTCTTAAATAATAGTATAGATTGATAAATAAACAAAATTACCTAAATTTAAGGAGAACATGACAACTAAGCAAATTTACTTATTAAATAATAGTATAGATATACTATTAAAATTTTAGTTTTAAAAGATTGTGATTTTCCTCCTTTTATTATATATGTCAAATAAAAAAGGATATTAAATTAAGATATAATTAACCGAAAATATCGTTGTAAAAAACAGATATTACCAAATAAATTTTAAAAAGTTTTAATTGTTTCCTTTTTATTATATATTTTAAATTAAAAATATTAAACAAAAATCTAATTGACTGAAACTATATTTGTAAAAAACAGAAACTACCAAATAAAAAAAATAGTTTAACAATAGTAATTAAATGTAATATTTTAAATTCATTAAAGATACATATATGTTTGTAATCAACCATTGTAAGAATTAACGTAGGCGTAACATTATGAGATCTTTTTATTTAATTTATTTATGTGTTTTTGCCAAACCATATAAATATGAAAAAGGAATTATCTACAAATATTTAAAGGGTAGATATATATATATATATATATATATATATATATATATTTATAAGTAAACGTGAATTTATAAATAAAGTTTACAAATAATAACTTAGATAGCGTAAAAATAAAATAAAGAGTTTTCTCTTTAATAAAATATCTCAAATAACATAATAAATATTAAAATATATAACAAAGTTTTATTTACTATGAAATTATTTATACCAAATTATTATAAAAGGAAATAAAAGTTTTTCAAAATAAATAAGCCCATCTTTT